ATTTAAAAGCCGGGTAGATGTGGTGCTTAGGGACATGGGTTAGTGGTGGGCTTGGCAGTGCTGGGTTAACGGTTGGACTTGATGATCTTAAAGGGCTTTTCCAACCTAAATGATGCTATGATTCTATCTTTTTGTGAAAGCTCTCTAAATTTAGGTCTGGTCTTTATATTCTGGGACACCTGCATGCAGAATTTGATCATTCAATCTGCAAAGACAGAATTTGAATGAATGTGTTTCTGAATTCCTTAGGCTAAATGCATAAGACAATTATTGCCTAGATGACCTTTTGAATTACAGTAATCCTACAGAAACCCATTATTCCAGCAGCATTTTTAAAGCACAAGCTGGAAATCAGAAAGATGACACATGAAAGCCATTATTTTGTCTGCAATAATGATTTCTCAGGGAGCACTGATCAGGGTGGATCTGATCCAGCATACAGATCACAAATAATGGTTCAGGAAAGATAAGAGGCACAAACCCATTCTATCCCTAATCTCCAAACAATCAACATTTAAGTGACAGCATTTAAGTGCTCTTTTGCTGTGAATAGGCGTGGATTATCCACAACAGGATCCGGGCATCAGGTCAAAAGAAGCGCAGAGCAAAGCAGTGTCATTCAGCTTAAAAAAAAAAAAATAAAAAAAACAAACCAACCAACAAACCAGAAATGTGAACACAAAGAGGCAAGGAATCATAAAAATATTTCATTAGCTCATTTGCATTATATTTCTAAACCAACAGCTCTAAGGCTGGTTATTTATTAACACACTTGATTAACATAAACCAGATGCACACCATCCCACCTTTGGAAGAACTTGGTCCACCTCCTCAAAATACATACCCTGACTAGATGGATGTCTCGTATATCAAAAGCTCCATCTTTTCCCTAAGGCGGGGCGTTAAGTTTAATGCCAAATGTAAGACTGACCATGAGAGAGGGATTCCTCTTACTACACATGTCTACCCCAAAGTTATCAGAAGGGTATGATTTACAAATTTCTTTTCAAGGAGTCATTGCAAAAGGTCCATCACCAGCCCAAGCATCTGCATTAGCACGCCCACAGTTGTGCTTTGGAAATAATTCCCTGGGTTTCCACATTAAAAAAAGATTATATCCCCAATAACAGCTGTTGCTTATGATGGTCGAAATGAAATAGCATTATTCTTGCCTAATTACGCATGTTTTTAACACTAACAAATTGTTCCATCAAGAAATTTGTTTCCTGAAGGCCAGCAGCCATCACAGCTTTGTCCCCTCATCACGAGCCTGTGGGTAGAGCCTGGGACTTACTTATACACAGTAGCTTCTATTAAAGTGTTATATATATGGAAATAATTCCTTATTGACAGTTCCCGAGTACAACAGCTTAAAGATATCATATTTATAAAAAAAAAAAACCAACCCTCAGCACTAGTTACTGTCACAAAACATGTGAGTAAGTTGGTCAGAAAGCAAAGTTCCCCACTGCGTGCTACAGGATAACAACCGTCAACCCTACTTGGCCTGTCTGGAGTAGGGACTATACTGTTTTGCCCAAATTTTAAGTACAGCCCAATAAAGACAAGAGACAATAAAATATTTTCACCCAGGATCTTGTTTTGAGGTTAAATATCAAATATATTCAAAGGATAACATTTTTCAACTATTAGCTGTGCAATTAAGCCACAGGCCTTTTCAAAATTATATTGGTGCTAGGAAAAAAGTGCTTTATTCTGTCAATCAATGACTTGCAGCAAACCACCATGGTTTTCACCTAAAATCCAGTAAAACTAATCCTAGTTCCCCAGGCTCTTGAGTAAGTTTTTCAGCTTCAGTGTTCATAAAATTATATTTGTGAAATGCATAAGGATTTGTACCATCTCATCTCCTAACACTTTACAAGGCTGAAAGCCATAACCAAACTGGTTTTATTGATATTTGGACATTTAAATATATACACAAGAACAAAGATTTTTCAAAGGAGATCAGTGAGCTTGACTTCTATCAAACCAAGTAGGTCTTCTGCACCTAATGATGGCAGCCCCACCAGATCTGCACTTTCAGAGTAGGGGTTTTTTGTGCTACAGAAGAAGCAGCACCAACATTTGTGCAATTCATTCACTTCAGCCAAATTTCCGAAGAATTAAGAGCCAAGGAGCAAGAAGAGAACCTGAGGCCCTGAGCCGCCAAGCCTTTGTGTATAGCCAAAAAGGCCATCTCCAGCTATGCAGGGTTTCTCAGAACAGTGAAGAAATCAACCTCCAGCTATGGTGGTACAGAAGAATACATGCTAAAACCAGTAACTGTCAGTGCACATAATGGACTTAAAAGTTATACTGGAGGCAAGAACTGCATTGGAATAAAGTACTGTAGCTGTCAGTTCCTAAAACGTAAAAAAAACCAAACCAAACCCAACCCAAAAAAACCCAACCATACTAAGTTCTGAAGATATTAAAAGACAGTCTTCTGCACTGATGCTCAAATTAGCCACCTTTGGAGCAGAAGAAAACACTTAGGGGCTGTTGCTGGGGAAAAGCAGCTATATTGAGAGCAAACAGCAACAGCCGACGTGTGCCTGACGTGGGTCAACACCGGAGCAAGGGCTGGGCGCAAAGGGAGGACGTTCGGCACACGAGCACACGTACCTGAAGCGGCCTCAGACCCAGGGATCAGGATGCTCCTCAGGCAAGACCCTCCGCTTGCCCCGCCACTGCAGGCGGACCCCTTCCAGCAGGCTGCAAGCCAGCCCCAGCCTCTCCCCTCCTCTCTGCCCAGAGCTGGGGTGCTGGGGTTTGCCCCCGCCAGCCACCCCACCACCCAAACCCTTCTGCACTCACCCCATGCCATGCATAACCCCCCGAGAGTTTGCAATTGCAAAGCACTAACAAGCTGCAGAGTTGAGGTCAAACCATTAAAGCCAGTCCACATCGAGTATTAGATACTGGACGTTTTCC